AGAAAGCCTTGTTAAGTAAAAAGAGCACACGTAGAATGCCCAATGAGGCCAGTAACTGATGGCCAAGTGCCACCTGACATTCACAGAATTCTTTGGCTCTTGAACTTACTACCAAATGAGGACGGTTTCCCTTCCCATCATCAATGACAATAAACCCATTTCTATAAACTTGCTATTTTGAGAAACAGAATCAATAATTAGTCAATAGACAAAAATTAAGGAGATTTATTTTTGGTAAAACCATATAACTAGTTTGAATAAGGCACATTTCTCAACATCTATGAAAAACAAATGCAAACACAATCATGGTTACATAAGGAAGAAGGGGAATATGCAAAATTTTGACATTAATATGGGCAAAGTCCATTTATGTTTGTTAAGTAGAAAAAAAAGCAAAATGCAATTGTTTGAAGGTCAATGTGTACTTCTTTTATGACAGGGATGACAAACAGATTTTAATCTCCTGTAATCTGACCAACCAGAACCAACTGCCTGAAGCTTTGGGCTGAGAAGGAAGAGGCCAGTGTGGGCACAGGAACAAGGATCTGACTGCTGTGGGCGGGGGTGCCAAGCGTCACATCTTCCTACCTACTCAGCCCGCTGCTTCCCAAGTCCAAAATGTTCTTTCTGGTTCAGGTGACTGCTCTTAGCCAAGGACAAATTTAGTTTAAGAGCCTCAATAAGGAAAAATGGGAGAGCATTTCTCAGTATAGGAACCAATCTATGGATTTTTAAAGCCATCAAAACAAACTGAAGTAAACAGAGCATGTAACCTTGGGAGGAAAGGCATTGAAGACTAAATTATTTGTATCTTTACCAATTATTTACAGGTTACGGGTTACTGGTTGTGTTCTCAGGCCATTTAGACAAGGCTAGTGCTCTTAACTAGTTAGTAAAATTTTAAAACCAGTCGAGGAGCACTGCCATATACAGATCTGATAGGGCAGTATTTTGGAAATAAGTTTCAATAGCCCAGTCTCTGAATGAGGCAAATTTAGGCCCCATATCATCAGCTACTTTAAGCCTAAACCCTAAAACTTAACATAATAGGAATAAGGGATATCTTAAACTAAATCACCTGGAAAACTGTTTCACACAGATATTTTTAGTTAGTTCTCTCTAGAATTGGTAATACCTTCTTTGTAAATGTATTATTCAAAACAAGCATTCCCCATGTGACTCACAAGCCTCAGTATTTCATAAACTCATAGAACCCTTAGAAATATTTTAAAGTAATCTTTTCATCATATTTCTATGGACTATAGTATTTGTAATCATTAATAATAATAATAATACACATATAAAGACAAATATCAAGTCCCATTGAGTAAGTGATATAGTGTCCAAGGTATTTTAATTTTGGAAAAACACAAACAAAACAGAACCACTATGACTTTTCAATAAATAAATTTCAAAGTGAAATATATTATGCTCAGATTGACAAAATATTAAAATGAAGATTAGTATTTAACTACAAATTCAACAATGACAAATAGATTAAAAACTGCTTTTATAAAATGATATAGAGAAGGCTTTACTTTTATAATTGTCTTACTTGTCTTACTTTTATAACTATTTATTTCCAGATGATAAAAATAAGGTGTCAGGTTCCTATTTGAAAGTCCTTCTTTATCAATAAACTGTATATAGATATAAGCTTTATTCCCATTAAATGATAATCAGATATAATGATTATATGTTCTGCCTAGGTTTTGAAGTACTAGACACCTGATTATGCTGCATAAAAACTGGTCAGATGTATACAAACACAGTCCCAATGAAGACCACCTCGCTGAATTACCACTTTCACATGCTGAATTCATTGTAGTTTTAACATCAGTGCTCCTTATGCTTCCCATATACATCAAACAATTAAAAACTGTGAAAGGGGCAAAACCACCTCAGCAGCTAACACTGTTTACCTGGGTCTTTACCCGGAGGATGGCGGGTCACAGGCCTGCTGAACCTTACTCACCACATAAGCTTGGCAGGTTTCAGATGAAATATATTTAAATTACTTAATTGATTTAAAAGTTCAAAATAGAAACAACAGCATTGCTACTTTTGGTTTTATGAATCCCCTAGAACTTCACTGCTAACCCTTGGGAACTCGGAAACTCAAAATTTACCCCATGCGGAAAGACACTTAAGTCTAGAGACAGTTTATAGTTCTACCAGTTGCTTTCAGAACTCTGGTTATCACTCAAAGAAGTGACTTACATTAATGTATAAGATAATGAGAATTTTCTGTGATAATAATTAAATGGCGATGCTTTGGATATCATGCATGGTTATCGTATGCCCACAAGTCATTGTTCTAAGTCAGACAAACTATCTATTACAGTAATGAAAGCTGAACATAAAAGAAAATTTGGAAACTTGAAAAATGTAAAAAAAAAAAATAGGTACAACTGAATAGAAATTAACTTGAGTACATTGTATAATAGATTTTATTTGTACATTTAAAAAACAAAGTTTTATGCCTTAAGAATAATCATTTTATTCATGAGAAGACCCAGAGCTAACATACTGCTTCTTTTAAAAATGATTTTTGAAATAGTGGACAGAAAACTGACAAGTTTCAGTTGACTGTACGTATACATTGAAGGAGACTTTTTTAATGACGTGAGTGAATGAGTGAAAGTCGCTCAGTCGCGTCTGACTCTTTGCGACCCCATGGACTACACAGTCCATGAAATTCTCCAGGCCAGAATACTGGAGTGGGTAGCCGTTCCCTTCTCCAAGAGATGTTCCCAACCCATGGATCAAACCCAGGTCTCCCGCATTGCAGGTGGATTCTTTACCAGCTAAACCACAGGGAAGCTGTTTTTAACAGACCAAACAGTTTAAAAAAAAAAAAGTGACATTTGGAAATGTTTTTCTAAATTATACTGAAAGGAAACGAGGAAACACCATAGCCAACTGAATGAAGAAACGATCTTTGTCTGTGATCTGAGTCACTGATGTCATGTGCATACTCCACACTGGTTCGTTATAGGTCCAAGGTAGCACAGGTCAGCAAGCATCAGTTCTACAAGGCACCACTGGTTTTGTGTGATGTAATGCTAGCATCTGAGATCTAGAAATATTGAAAAAAAATTGAATATGGTATATAGATTTTCCTTTCATTTCTACTGATTTTATACTGTATTGATATTGATCTTAAATACACTATGTTTTAACTTTTTGTTCAGGAAGATCTCGCCTCAAATCTAGCAGAAGAGTCCTTCCCCAAGGCCCCAGTGAAAACAGTCCCTTTAGGTATGTGGCCCTACACTCTGCTGAGCACAATATCAGGTCTTGGTTAGAACAAACTTATATGTTTTTCCTGTGACAAACACTGTCAATGGCTTCTTCCTCCCATATCTTTATTATCTCTCTACAGGCATCAACAAAGACCCCTATATCTTCTTACTGTTTTTGAAAATCCTTCCACCCTTTAGTCACTGGACTTTAGAGGTCAAAACTTAGCTGAAATATTCTAGGTTCATGGCGATAGTTCCTAGGTATGCCATGTAATGGGTTAGATCCTTCACTTGGTCAACATCATTTTACTAAAGTTTCTGCTTTAGGGGTTGAAATGCAAATCAATAATCACTGTCTCCATAAACACTGTTCTAGAGCTTTCTTACAATCACAGAACATGATCCAACAATTAACACTAGCTGTTAAAACCTCTTAGAATCTACCTACCATTTCTACTTCCTCTCACTAAGTATAATGGCTTCTGCATTTTTCTAATTGTTAACCTACTAGTACTTCTAACTAGAAGGTCAAGAAATGAGCTGCATTATATAATGTTCCATCACTGTACAATAAGCAAACAGTATGGTAAAGTTATGCCAATGTACCCATATAAAAACCTACTATTCAATTGGTTATTAAAATCGGTTCTGCATAAAGCATTCAAACTCATCTTAGACAATACAGAATTCCATCAGGAGAGACAGAAATGCTGAGTAACAGAAATTAACAAAAGTGTAGAAATATGCTAGTAAATACTAGTTTACACATTCTGCTATTCATCTGTAGGTCTTTATATTCTTCATAAATAGCATGTCTCTATGATAAACTTGTATTTCATCTTCTACCTACTCATGAGTTTTAATTCATTTCTTTCTACCCATTTCCTATCTTCTAAGCTGTCTTTTCCCTTAATCAGTGCTTTTCAAACTTATCAGCAGAACTCTTTATTCCAATTAAATCTTATGTAGGATCTCAATATGTAAAATGGCAAAAGCAGAACTTCTCTGATACAAAAGGGAGAGGGGCCAGTAGACAGCTTGGAAATCACTGCTCTATATCAGAAAATTGAAGCAAAGATACAGCCAGTTGCAATTTATTCATTTGCAATGATTATAAACAGTTCCCCCATCGTTTCCAATTTTTAAGAACATTTCTTGAGCACAGGCTGCTTTTCCCTTAGAGCTTATTAACGGAAGAAAACATAGGGCCTTACATATAGTATTTACGTAAATAAGTATTTGAATTCTTGTGTCCTTTTTCATACTACTCAAAAGTGCAAAAAAGCATAAGATGTAGTCCTGCAACTAGGTTATTAAAATGAGTTTTTAAAATATTTAACATGTAATAGAAAATTTTAAAAATTTATAACTGTAATTACTTTAATCTGAGTCCAAATACTATCCAAAAGGCTCCTTAGAGTCTCAAGAAAACAAAAATCACTCTGTAGTTACTGTGAGATTATCTTCCCATTTAATCATTCTGTCGCTCTATTTTTGGATTGGAAAATATTCCTCAGTTGTATATACCTGATTCACTTGAAAGGCAAGGAAAGAAAGTCAGGTCAACTTTTAGCTTTGCCAAGCTTAGATTAGAAAGATTTTACAGAATGTAAAAAATGAAAATTTTTTCTAAAATAAGCTTGTTTGTGCTTTCCAGGCATTTCCTCACATTCATCAACCTCCTTCCAAATAAAAAGGCTTTTCAACTGACTTTTTAATAATCCCATGCCGACCATAACCACCTCTGTGCTTAGCTTATACAGAGCAGCCCCGTTCTTCTATGCTCCTCACTGGCTGGACGGGCAGCACCAGGTGGGAAATACGGCTCCACAGCCCACTCAATTTGTCCGAATCCATTTGGTTGAAGGAGCTGGGAGTGTTAGAGTTGGTAAACCTCGCCCAGAGAAAATCTCGCACTTTCTCTTCGGTTTCCCTTGGGCTGACGCTTGCTTCTAATGCTTCCTCCTCCAGTAGGACGGTCAGGACCAGGGCCACATCTTTAAAGGCAGCGTTCTCATAGTCACAATACTTGTAGAAGATCAAGGTGGAGCCTGCAGGAAGGGATTCAAAGCGATGGACCACAGCTGCCTTCTGGCCCTTCTCAAATCCAGAGCTCAGCTCCATGTCAACCGAATGCTTGACCTGATCGCTGTCCTGCAGGGTTTTCCCGGCCCCATCAACCTGAATGGCAGGGGCCTTCTGGGCCGATGTGTAGGCATCCGCAACATAATGGCTGAGGCACTTCAGGGTCTCTCTTCCCTCTCGGGCTGCTGTGAATATGATGGTGGCTGGCTCACTGGGGTGTGAAGTGTTGAGGTGCTTCTGGAGAAATTTACGTGCTCTCTGCCACAGAAAGGAACTCTGGCCTGGAAATTTATCCTTCAGTTGGCTAAAATGAACCAAGAAAGCCTCCAATGCTGGATTTTTGGGGACTTGCTGGGCTGGAGACGAATAGTAGCTATTAACAGAACTTAGCAAAACTATGGAAAGAACCAGGAAGCCAAGAAAGATGGAGCCTGTCAGAGAAAAAGAAAATAAAAGACAAAATTAGAGAGAATGAGTCAGAAATAAAGCCTGTGGCAAACTAAAAAGAGGCAAGTACACTGTCAGATTTTACTGGCTGTGTTGTGTTTCTTTTGCTTAAATCCTTATAATTTTTAGCTGTTAAAATCTACCGGAAACACTTTTTAATTTCTTAAATTATTTAAAGATATAATATCTTTGTTAAAAGGTAAAATCTAATTTATATATTTTTTTGGTATATCTAATGACGTGATTTAGAAATGAACTATCAGCATATTCTTCTATCAATACCTTCTCAGAAGTATCTACTACCTACAGGCCATTTTTTCCTAAATGGTCAAAATGTAAAAATGCCACTTCAAAAGTTAATACTTTCCTTCTCACTGAAAAGGCAGCTTTAATAGGAAGCTATATTGAATATCTTTTAATAGCCTATAATGAAAAATAATCTGAAAAAATATACATATATATAATTAAATCACTTTAAATTAGCACTACATTGTAAATCAGGTGTACTTCAATCAAAAACTGTTTCAGTTTCTTGTTTATGAAAAGACCTTCCTCCACGGAATTCCCATTTTGTTAAGGATGGCAAAATGTTGGCTAAAACACCTAAAGGGAAAAAAATCCCTAAAACTCAATTGCTCTATTCTCATATTACTATCAAACATTAAAAAAAAAAATTAAAACAATGCTAAAACTGTTAAATCTGCTAGTTTTCTGGCTATTTCTCTGAGAATTTCTGAATGTGAATTATTGCAGTAAAACCAGTTTTGTTCTCACCATAGTTCAAAAAATTTTTTTTATCAGTCCTTCTTATGGTATCCTGTGCATTTTTCTCTTTGTTTTCTTCCAATTCTTGTGTTTCTTGTTGATGACTCTCAGCCTCTGGAAAATAAAAAAAAACATTATTATCAGACAGTGTACACTAATGAAAGTGTGCATACCTTTATACTTCTTACCAAAGCAAAGGATTTGACTGAGGATGCCATACTTCATAAAATTTTATTTTGTACAAAGCTAATTATTTTTCCTGTCTTTTACTTAAGGCCCACTATTGTACTTTATTCTACTTAGAAGAATAAAATAAAATGCTGTGAAATCACTTAAGGATACATCCACAATTCTTCACTAGCCCTTATATCAAGGACAAAGAAACAAGATTGCAGCCAAACCTATCTAAAATGTGATTTGACAAAATGTACAGAACTAAGAAGGAATTTAAGAAATGTTAGCTATACACAAGACTCAATATCATGGGTTTCAGTATTCATCAATAATTTCAGTATTCAGTTCAGTTCAGTTCAGTTGAGTCGCTTAGTCGCATCCGACTCTTTGCGACCCCATGGCCTCCCTGTCCATCACCAACTCCCGGAGTTTACTCAAACTCATGTCCATTGAGTATTAGTCATCACTAATTTCAGTATTTCTATTTCAAAAGGTTCCTCAACTCCCAAATACGCAAATAACAGACACTAAGTTTAAAGATAGGAGAGATTACTATACACTAATAGCTTACTTTGCAAAATAACTTAGAAAAGTAAGCCTGAAAATTAATGAGTGAGGTACATGAAACAAGGAATACAAGGTTAAGAAAACTTATGAACTATATAAAAATGCAGGTATGGGGTGTGATATCAATCTTAATTGATATCACATATGTGATCAAATCTGTTGGTGAAAAGGAGGCAGTATTTTGTAGACTCTGAGCTAAGTCCCTTTAGAGTCAAAATGTGTGCCTGACCCCAGCCAGGTACCTCATATAACAATGACGGCTGACTACTGCCCATAATCCTTACTAGAGAAATAACTCAAATAGCATACTCTATTAACATAAAGGAGTAGAGTCATCTCCACCTATAAAGAACAGTTAATCAGATCACACCAAAATGTGGGTTTTTAAAATGTCATGTCACAGAATTTAAGGACTGAAAGGATCTGTAATGATCACCTACTCTAGCCCCCTACCTTACCTACTGTGACAAAAGGTCCAGAGATGTCAAGGGCTTTGCCCAAGGCCAAGCTGAGATTAGAAAGAGGTTTCTCATCTCCTAGATGAGCTCATTCCATTATATTAAGCTGCTTCTCACACATGAAAATGCATTTTTAAAACAATGTTTTCTTCCCCTACTCAGTGAACCTGGGTAACAGTGAAATTCTGATGGCACATATTGGTCCATATACAACTGCTATCATTTGCTCATTTAACAAATATTCATGAAGTCACTTCTTTGTGCCACATGCCAAAGAAACACAATGAATGAGACATAGCCCTTGTCTTCACTCAAGTTAATAGTAAACTAATGAAACACATATTTGAGATCAGCCATTGAGTTACACTGAAACATGGAATTCTAGCTCGCAGTCAAGCCCAACAAAAACAATGTCTTACATTTTATATTCCTTTGCTCTGGCAAATAGGCTGAGCTTTCAGAGTACTTATACAACACAAATCCACACAATCCAACTCCATATTATCACAAAAGGTAAAAGCTGGAAGAAACCAGCTGGATATCATCTTGTTCAACTTCATTTCCACAAATAGAAAACTGAAATACCAGGAAGTTGGGAGATTTGCTTGCTGCTGCTGCTGCTAAGTCACTTCAGTCGTGTCTGACTCTGTGTGACCCCATAGACGGCAGCCCATCAGGCTCCCCCGTCCCTGGGATTCCCCAGGCAAGAACACTGGAGTGGGTTGCCATTTCCTTCTCCAATGCATGAAAGGAAAAGTGAAAGTGAAGTCGCTCAGTCGTGTCCGACTCTTAGAGACCCCATGCACCACAGCCTACCAGGCTCCTCCATCCATGTGATTTTCCAGGCAAGAGTACTGGAGTGGGATGCAATTGCCTTCTCCAGGGAGATTTGCTTAAATTCACCCAAATTAGGAACTGGTAGGGCTGCAACTAGAATCCATATCTCTTGAGTTCCAGTTAAAGACTTAGCACACTGCAACTATTCTTCATGAGGAAAGACAGGATGCTGTTATCCTTAACATACAAGTGGGGAAAATCAGGTATAGAGAAATAACTGATTTGCTCCAAGTCCTATAAAACTGAAATATGACTGAGTTAAGGATACTGGCTCAGATGGTAAAGAATCTGCCTGCAGTGCAGGAGACCCAGGTTCGATCCCTGGGTCGGGAAGATCTGGAGAAGGGAATGGCTACCCACTCCAGGATTCTTGGAGAATCCCATGGACAGAGGAGCCTGGTGGATAACAGTCCATGGGGTCGCAAAGAATCAGACACATACTGTAGTGACTAACATTTCACTTCAAGGATACTATACCACTAATGCTGGTTTTTAAATATACCTATCTCTCGATTTATTTATGTAGCATTTAGTTTTCCCCAAAGCAAAAGATTTTAAAAAGTGAAAGTGAAAATATAAGAAATAAAGAAAAGGCCAAGGGTGAATTTTTTAAGTCATACCTGTGGGAAAAAAAATCATACATACAGTAATTAAATAGAAACTGTTAAAAAAATGCAGCTTATGTATAAGTGGGAAGCAACTTAATGTAGTGAGCAGAATGAGCTAGCTTGAAAGTGAAAGTGTTAGTTGCTCAGTTGTGTCTGACTCTGTGACCCCATGGACTGTAGCCTGCTAGGCTCCTCTGTCCATGGGATTCTCCAGGCAAGAATACTGGAGTGGGTTGCCATTCCCTTCACCAGGGGATCTTCCCAACCCAGGGATTGAACCTGGGTCTCTCACATGGCAGGCAGAGCCTTTACCTTCTGAGCCACCAGGGAAGTCTTAGGAGATGAGAAACCTCATTTAATCTCAATGCAGTCATATCTCTTTGTGACCTTGGGCAAGATGCAAAGGCCTTAATCCTATGAAGTAAAGAGAAGCTCTCTGAAAAGAAGGGCCCCACCTATGCTGTGACAGAATAGTACACAACAGGACAGGCTCAGGGCTTTTCTCACCTGGTGCCAGCAGTCGCTTCCTCAGTGTGTGTTGGCTCTCCGGCCCTGCACTGGAATGGCCAGGGCTCTGGGCATCCTGAGGGTCAACGACTGGTGGCTCCTGAGACGCTCCAGGTCCGTCACTGACGTGCTCGGGGAGGGCTGCAGGGCTGCCCACTACGTGTGCGTCTGTTTTTCCTACCTTGTCACTTGGAGAACACTTGGGTTCTGGATCCACAGGGTCTTCACTCAGACTCTCTGAAGGGAGCTGATGGCCTTGTTCTCCACCCTGAAAACTCTGGCTGTTCTCACCTTCTATGTCCTTTAGATATTTCCCATAATCTGTTTCATCTGGATTTTCTGATTGAGCATCTATATCTGTACTTCCTGGGCCAATTGTTTCTACCTCTTGGTGGTCTTTGTTAAGACGAGGGGCAGGGTCTAGGGTCTGAGCTTCTTCAGTGGTACTTGCAGTGACTGTAGTCTCCTGAGTATTTAGTGATGGATCATTTTCCAAATCCTTCTGAGGGTCTATTGAGACAAAAATTTACAATTTTAAAAATTTCCCTACATTTTTTATTTCAACAAGATCCCTGATTAATAAAAATATTTATATAGATTTTTATGGCTTTAAGAGGCACTCTTCCTAAACATTATTTCTCTTGACTTTCACTAAAGGTGACTGATTACCCAAATTTATTATCATGCTAATCTAACAAATAATATTAATTGAAAACTATTTTGAATGGCAAACCAACTTTTGGTAATGTTAAAAATACCCTCTTCCCTAATGAAACAACAGATCTAGGCAATAATCATCAATAGCAACTGAAACCATTATTTGAAAGACTGAAGAGGAATTTTATAGTGAATGAACCAGGCTGCCAACTTCCTTCTGAACCCACTGATGAATCTTAATACCACAAACAGAAGGAAAATCAGACATTTCTAACTTCCCGAATTCGATGCAATAGGAAGTACACTATACTACCTATTCTTGCCAAACTAAAACAGAATCTAATCAAGCTTCTAGAGCTAATTACCAGTTTCCAAGAAACACAGGGACAGAGGAATACATTAAATTATGCCTCAGGAATGTAATCAGAAAAACCCAAAATGATGGAAATTCTAAGAGACAAAGACTCTGTTTCTTTAGTAACAGCAAGAGATAAAAATAAATGGCAAGAAAAAATAAAAAAAGGAGGGGTGACCTATTGATTGAGATACTAGAGACACATCAACAATGTGTGGACCACATTATAGATCCAGTGTCCCACAAACCAACTGTTAAAGAAGTATTGATGAGATAATCAGGAAAATCTGAACACCAGCTATTTGATGAGATGAAGGAATTACTGGTATGAAAAGGAATTGGGGTAATGTTTTCTTTTTAAAAAGGAATCTGTACCATTTGGAGATAAGTGTTCAAGTATTTTGGCTAAAAGTATATGATATCTAGATTTTGCTTCAATACAATGATATGGGTATAAGGAGAAGAGAGTATAAATGAAACAGTGTTAGCCATATGTTGATAGCAGATGAAGCTGGGTCACAGAATTCATTTCATCTCTCTACTTATATGTTTGAATTTTCCATAATAAAGTTTTTTGTGTTTTTTTTAAAAAGCAACCGAAAAGATCTATCAATGAAATGCAGTATGTGACCCAAATGTAAAGAAAAAAAAAATTAGAAACCCAACTGTGAAGAAAACAGATTAAGAGACAATTGGGGAAATGTGAATGCTGACTGTATATATGAAGAATAGTGTGGAATAACAATTTATTTTTAGGTGTGACAGTGCTATTTTGGTTCTTTTTTTTTTTTTAATCTAGCTTCAAGAGATGTAAACTAAAGTCCTAAAAAAAGTACATCATGTCTTGCATTTACACTTAAATATTTCAAGGTAGGTAACAAGAGCAGCATTATGTAGGTAAAAGTTGAAGTTAGATGTTGAGTACATGGGACTTCATTATACTGTGCTATTTTTTGTGTGTGTGCTATTTTTATATATTGAAAAATATCCTTAATAAAATATTTAAATATGCCCTTCTCTTCTGAAAAATCAATTTCATATTTTGCCTATATTTCCTATATATACACTTAAGCCGGATGAAGAATTTAAATTTCATCTTTCCTTACAATTGAAAGACCCTGCTCTAAATAGATAGCATATCACAGCTAACTTGACTTTTAAAAATATAACTCTAAAGATCTGTCTACCATCTTTTTTTAAGATGTTATTTTCCCAATACTACAGGAGTCTCTAAAACTTAACTCTTCTTCATAATTAGGGTCTGGTATGATGGTAAAATTCGGTAAATATCAAAGAATAAGAGTCATAATAAATTAAGCAATTCAGTTCTTTTTTACTTCCAAACTTCAGTCTTGGTCACCAGAGACTTTCTCTCCTAGCACAGCCCTAGTTTCCGACAGCACAAACTTCGTGCTGTACAAACGCGTCTTACCCTCTGAAGGATCCCCAAGTCCTCTCTCAGTCATGTTTGAGTTCTATCTCTTCAGACTTTGGGATACTTTCTGTTAGTATCTGGATTTCCTTGTAAAGATGTCTTGGTTTCTTCTTGTCCCAAGTCCCAACAGACTCATGCTTCCCATGGACCCAGGAAACAAGCCATTTATACAGTGACTAAAACAAAATAAAAAGAATTAAAATGACTTTTTTATTCATAGATGGGAAAAATGCCTAGTTCAGCTTTATTTACTAAGTTTGTTTAGTTTGAATACTATTTTCTCACTGAAACTTATCTAGTGAAGAAAAAATGTTTTCTGGCTTTCATGAGACTCATATTCCAAATCCTAGACTATAAATAGAAAAAAAAAAAAACAAAACTTCAGATTATTAACCCTTGTATAGATGACATAACCTCCTAATACATTCTAGTGTGTCCGGAAGGATGTAAAAAGTAAGAACAAGTGACCAGAATCTTGATGGAAACACCTTTGAAACTGAAATAAAAAGTAATTCTAAGAATAAAAATTTAAGTCACTGCTGAGTTAATCACTGCAGATTTCCCTTATGTCAATTTCTGTCCCATATAAATTTCCCAGAGTTTGCCTACCAGAAACTCCCATTTATCATTAACAAGAAACATGCACAGGGTGACCTACAGATGAAGATGGCTGTCTTGGTATTAGGAAAAGCAAATACACATTTAGGGTTTCGTCACTAAGAGTGGTTTTCTTACAGTATTCTTTTATAAAATATGGAGATAGTTATCTCTTTATACGATCCCCTTCTATACACTGCTCAAAGAAGTTGTTGTGTTAGTCACTCAGTCATGTTTGACTCTTTGCAACCCCATGGACTGTAGATCAAAGAAGAATCTATATAAATTATTAAAAGCTGTATACAAAAGGAATCAAAACCAGAGGTAACTTATAAGCAATAAAAACTCAATTATATCTTATATTCAGTTGGTGCAAACGTAATTGCAGTTTGGGTCCTTGAATTTTAAATCATTATAACTAGGCTTGAATACAGCTTAATTAATCAAAATAGGAACCATTACAATCAACACATTTTTGCTAAAGAGAAATAAGTTTGTTTATTCCTGAAGCATGAAAATCTATGCTTCATGATTTGACAAACTCTTGGAAAGCATTTTCTGCATTCTGTTTGTTGTGGAAGTGTTTTCCCTGCAAAAAGTTTGAGATGCTTGAGGAAGTGGTAGTCAGTTGGTAAGAGGTCAGGTGAATACGGCAGATGAGGTAAAACTTAACAAATAAATAGAAAATCCAGTGACAGAGCAGTCTGGTGGGCTACAGTCCATACGGTTGCAAAGAGTTGGACATGACTGAAGTGACTAAGCATGCATGCATGCACCTAATAATAAAAACTAAAAGGTACCTAGTAATAAATCTACAACACATATGCAAGGACTTTGGAGTGGGTGAAGTTTATGGTATGTAAATTATACCTCAATAAAACTATTTTTTAAAAAAAGAACTTCTAGGGAGAAAAGTATTAAAACTTTATTGAAGGACATAAAAAGGACCTAAGTAGAGAAATATACTGTGTGTATAGTCAGTAAGATTCAAGGCCATTTACTGCTAATTGCACTCATCTCACATTCTAGCAAAGTAATGCTCAAAATTCACGAAACCAGTCTTCAACAGTACGTGAACTGTGAACTTCCAGACATTCAAGCGGGATTTAGAAAAGGCAGAACCAGAGATCAAATTGCCAACATCCGCTGGATCATCAAAAAAGCAAGAGAGTTCCAGAAAAATATCTATTTTTGCTTTATTGACTACACCAAAGCCTTTGACTGTGTGGATCACAACAAACTGTGGAGAATTCTTAAAGAGATGGGAACACCAGACCACCTGATTTGCCTTCTGAGAAATCTGTATGCAGGTCAAGAAGCAACAGTTAGAACTGGACATGGAACAACAGACTGATTCCAAATCGGGAAAGGAGTATGTCAAGGCTGTATATATTGTCACCCTGCTTATTTAACTTATATGCAGAGTACATCATGAGAAATGCTGGACTGGATGAAGCACAAGCTGGGATCAAGATTGCTGGGAGAAATATCAATAACCTCAGATATGAAGATGACACCACCCTTATGGCAGAAAGCAAAGAAGAACTAAAGAGCCTCTTGATGAAAGTGAAAGAGGAGAGTGAAAAAGTTGGCTTAAAACTCTACATTCAGAAAACTAAGATTATGGCATCTGGTCCCATCACCTCATGGCAAATAGTTGGGGAAACAGTGAGAGACTTTATTTGTGGGGGCTCCACAATCACTGTGAGAGTTGGACTATAAACAAAGTTGAGCACCGAGGAATCAATGGTTTTGAACTGTGGTGTTGGAGAAGACTCTTGAGAGTCCCTTGGACTGCAAGGAGATCCAACCAGTCCATCCTAAAGGAGATCAGTCCTGAATATTCCTTGGAAGGATTGATGCTGAAGCTGAAACTCTAATACTTTGGCCCCCTGATGCAAAGAACCAACTCATTGGAAAAGACCCTGATGCTGGGAAAGACTGAAGGCGGGAGGAAAAGGGGACGACAGAGGATGATAGGGTTGGATGGCATCACTGACGTGACGGACATGAGTCTGAGCAAGCTCTGGGAGTTGGTGATGGATGGGGAAGCCTGGTGAGCTGCAGTTAATGGGGTCACAAAGAGTCAGACACAACTGAGCGACTGAACTGAACTGAACGCCAATTCCCTCCAAAATAATCTGTAAATTCATTGCAATCTGAAACAAAATTTTCAGACAATTTTTTTATTATATGTTTCTTATGAAATGAATGAGCTGACCCTGAAATTCATAAAAAGCAGTAAAGAATTAAGAGTCAAGCTAATTCTGAAAGAAGAAAAAAGAATTCTGAAGGAGGGAAATCTGTACCAGATATATCAAGATATTAAAAACAATAGGGCACTGGCGTTAGAACAGACAAACATAACAACACAGAATAGAGAGCCAAGAAATATGTACATACTTAAGTAAAGGAAACTGAGTGACAAAGAGAAAGAATGGACTAATGAATAAACAGTTATGGGACAACTGATTTTTCAAATGGGGAAAAAAACTAGATTTCTACCTCCACAAAAATCAGTTGCAGATTAGAGACCTAAATGTAAAGTGCAAAAACTTGGGAATTTTCAGAAGAAAATGGGGAATACCATTATAACCACAAGGTTTTCTTAAGCAAGATATAAAAGACATACAAACCATGAGGGGAACAAATGTGATGACATTAAAAAAGTTATCTCTATACAAATAATCAAAATCAAGGTTAAAAGACAAATTCACTGACTAGAAAACTATCAGCAACACATATAATCATCAATGGATTAATATCTAGAATACATAAAAACTACCCCAGATCAGTTAAGAGACAAATACTGCTATTTTGCTTTTTAAGTGGGCAAAAGAGATGAATAAGCAGTTAAATAAAAAGAGGACTCTAAATGTCTAATGAATTGGTAAGAAATGTAGGCAAGGAAATGCAAATATTAATGATGAGATACCATCTCACAACCACCAGATTGGGGGAAAAAAAAAATGTAATACCAAGTGTTGGTGAGGATCTGGAGATACCCAGACCTGTATTGCGGAGAAGACAATGGCAACCCACTCCAGTACTCTTGCCTGGAAAATCCCATGGACGGAGGAGCCTGGTAGGCTGTAGTCCATGGGGTCGCTAAGAATCGGACACGACTGAGCGACTTCACTTTCACTTTTCACTTTCATGCACTGGAGAAGGAAATGGCAACCACTCCAGTGTTCTTGCCTGGAGAATCCCAGGGACAGGGGAGCCTGATGGGCTGCCGTCTATGGGGTCGCACAGAGTCGGACACGACTGAAGTGACTTAGCAGCAGCAGGAGCAGACCTGTATTGACAATGAGGCCACCTGTTACAACTTGGGAGGGCAATACAGCAATACCAACTTGACACACACATTCTACAAATCAGCAATTCTTTTAGACATGTACCTTAGAGAAACTTTTCCTAAAGTGCCCAATGGTGTTTGTGGCAGCATTGTTAAAAAAGAAGAGGAAAAACTGAGAAAATCTTAAATGTCTATAAATAAGGAACTAGTTTTAAATTGTGGCATATTCTTTAAATGGAATATTATATATAGCAATTAACTAGTTATGTATAAAAATTCATAAATGTTCAATATTAAAGCCTTCATATAAAATATAAGAAGCATAAAATACTACGTGTGTGTGTGTGTGTGTGTGTGTGTACTCAGTCATGTTCAACTCTTTGCAACCCCATGGACTATAGCCCACCAGGTTCCACTGTCCAAAGAATTTTCCAGGCAAGAATACTGGAGTAGGTTGCCATATCCTACTTCAGGGGGTCTTCTTGATCCAGGAATCAAATCTGAGTCTCATGTGTCTCTTGTATTGGCAGGCAGATTCTTTACCACTGCACCCCCTGGGAAACCTATAAATACTATAGAGTGATTTAAAAATAATTAAACAAATGAAAAAAAAAAACGAACCAACTACTGATAACATAAGATGGATGAATCTGAAAAAATGTGATGAGTGAGAAAAGCCACACACAAGACTATATGCCAAATGATCTAATTCATATGAAGTTCTAGAATGGCCAATGGTCTACAGTGAGGGAAAACAGAGAAGTGGTTCCAAGGGTAAGGACTACTGACTGGAAAAGGGCATGAGAAAACCTTTTGGGGTAATGAAAGTGTTCTATATTTTTACTGAGGTGGTGGTTACATTTGTCATCAAGCTTAAAATCTGTGCATCTTATTGCAAGCAGGATATCCTCAATAAACTTAATTTCATGTAAACCTAACTGAATGCTTTAAAAAAAAAACATATTACTTGGAAACTAGGTTGCAGTCAACAAGCAATCTGCAAAGGAACACCAGAGATATATCTATAATCTTACAATTGCTCAATATATGCCTTTCTTATCACAAGGCACACATCATTCCTATAGCCCATTTCACTCAGACCCTTGGACACACACTGCTGTTCATAGCTGAACCAG